CGGAACAAATCTGCATGACCGTCATCACGTTGTGACCGATGGGGTTCCTACCGCTGTAGGCGAGCGTGCGTACGTTGAACGTGCCGAACGATAGGCCGCCCTCCCGTGCCTTCTTCTTCGCAGCCGCCTTGACGGCCGCTGCGGTCTCGTGTCNTCCGCTTTGCATTACTGCTCCCGCGGGAACAGTGTCCATGCACACCTCTCGCCACTACCACTGTCTGTGCATCCTCACCGCCATGCTGAGCCAGCGCGGCGGTGAGTTGCACCTTGGGACACCACCCACCTACCATCTGTTGCGGCCGGGTTCGCCCGCGAGGGATTCACTAGGTCGATTTCGCCCCCGGCCGGGGAGCAGGCCGAGTGGGGGGAAAGGAGTTAGATCAGCACGGAGAGATTTGGACAGAAGGGGGTACTGGAGAGAGACTGGAGCGATTTTTGATGTGAAGACAACAACAACAGCAATAAGAACAACAACAACAACGTTCCGTGACACAGCACTTGGAGAAACCAAATCAAACTAGATGACATGGGCATACCATCCTTTTATGGAAGACACGTTGACACGCTGTTGTTTTGTCTCGTGTTCCTACACGTACTACGTTTATTCCTGGTAATTTAAGTTGAACACCAACCCATCCGCGCGCANTTCACTAGGTCGATTTCGCCCCCGGCCGGGGAGCAGGCCGAGTGGGGGGAAAGGAGTTAGATCAGCACGGAGAGATTTGGACAGAAGGGGGTACTGGAGAGAGACTGGAGCGATTTTTGATGTGAAGACAACAACAACAGCAATAAGAACAACAACAACAACGTTCCGTGACACAGCACTTGGAGAAACCAAATCAAACTAGATGACATGGGCATACCATCCTTTTATGGAAGACACGTTGATACGCGATCGTTTGTCTCGTGTTCCTACACGTACGTTTATTCCTGGTAATTTAAGTTGAACACCAACCCATCCGCGCGCACCGGATGAAGGGAAAGAAAATCGGCACTACTGCCTGTTGTCCGTTGTGCAAAAACAAGGGCCCGCTCACGTTGTGATATCCGCCGTCCACTTTTAACCATGGCCTTTTCTCCTTGACATCCTCCTCGTCCTTACCCTTAAATAACTCCACCTTCTTGTACCAGCCGTCTCGAAACGCCATCGCGAACGTAACGAACTTAATGATGGACTTGTCGTTCTGGACCCCGAGGAAACCCCGCGTACACTACAAAACACGCATGTCATGGCTGACGGCGACGTTGTACACTACTATGGTAGGGTAGCCTTCCTTGCCCATGAACGACGCGCGTTTGGAATAAGGACACACCGTCCACTCAATGTGCGTTCCATCCATCGACCCCATGGCACCCGACATTCCGACCTCGTCAAATACTTTCATGATCTCCTTGAGCTTGTCTTCATTCGGCATGCTCACCCATACCGGAAAGAACTCACGCGCGAATCTTTCCTTGAACTGGTGGAACAGGCGGTTCACCGTGGCCTCGCCCATGCCCATGACCTCCGAGACATCGTCAAAATAGTTTTTTTTTCCCAGTATGCGAAGCACCGCAAAACCTGTTGGGAAACCATAAAAAAATAGCGGTTAGGGGAGACGATTCGTGTTGTGCAGAACTAGACGTTGTGATCAGCAGCGTGAACACAGGTCATCAGTGCAGGATGTGTGACTTATGCGTATCCAACTTGCGAAGTAAAAAGAGTTCGTCCAGTTTTGGAGCAACACTGCAAGTGAGCTACGAGCATCAGTCACAAAGAGAACGTCCGAGACTGAAAGGAGAATACGTACGTACGGTTTGTGTTTCCGAAGAGATGGGAAGAGTCTGCTCTACATGAGCCGTAGGGTAGTACCACCGCCGTGATGGCGTTCACAATATCCGGGTGGCAACAGCACAACTTCTGTTGCAATATCATACATACATGCCGCAGAGTACAGCGATGGAACTACGGTTCCTCGTGATTGTAAGTGTGGGAGAGTGTGTGTGATGAGACGAGCCCTAGTCACAGCCAGCACCCTGCCTCCAGGAAGCAGGCGCGCTCTGTACGTGCCCGGACTGTGCCGAGTACGCGTCTTGCGATGCGACGTGCAACAGCAAGATACCATCTACCTACCTGCTTGGGGAAGGTTCCTTCGTCTGTTCATGTACGTAGTTAAATTATTGCAGAGTCCCAACCCAATGCTGCCATCATCCATCTCTCTCTATAGATATATGCTGCCTTGCGTAGCACCCCACGCTAGGGTGCACGCGCGTGTTTGGTCACCTTTATTTCGACGGGGCTGCAGCGCCTGGAACCTCTCCCGCCAAGCTCAAACTCGTCGGTTGTGAAACCAGCCCAGTTCCCAGCCTTTACTTCGTCTACAAGGGTAAGAATGAAAGGGTAGGGTACGCTTTTGACTCTCTCGTCGACGGGTCCTTAAGGAGGTCAGCATTCTCAATCATTTTTCCCCAAGGCAACCTGCGATAGTCCGCTCTCGGCCGAACCGTGCGTCGGCGCTTGGGTCGCGGTTCATCGTCATCTTCCTCTTCATCTCGGCGCAATTGTAGCAGCGACGCGACCAGAAGCTAATTATGATGATGCAGCGCGACAAGCGCCAACGACAGCAGAGTCAACACCGCCCTCAGCTCTGTGTTCCGCACCATAGCTAGCACTGCTGTGTGCGCGTGTGGCGCGCTCATCGATAAAAAAATAAGCACGATACGCCCATGTTTTCACGAACCCCCCGGGATTCCTGCTTTGGAATTTGTCGTCGCCCGAGTTGGAATCCGCCCTGGATTCCAGCTCGACCGGGCTGGAATTTCCCAAATTGGAATTTTTTGGGATTCCAACCTCCCCATAATCTAGACTTTTCTGGAATTTTGTGGGGGTTCGCGGACAACATCTCCCTGGGGTCCCCTGACAATTCCCCCGGATTCCGAAATCGGAATCCTTCCATAAGAGTCGGCCTAATGTCGTAATGTGGGGCACAGCCTTAATGTCCCCCTTCCCAAAACATTGTTCGGTCGTGTGCTCGCTGGTGGCCTGGACCCATGGCCGTACGTCATCGACCTGCCCTTCCAGGTATTCCGACCTTGCCTGGCGTCCCGGAAGGACGTTCACAAAGAGTTTGCGATGTTTTGTATAAAGTACGCTAGCGAGACAAACTTCCCGATTTTCTCTTTGGCCAGGTCTACCCCAGATACCGACTCCCCCTCACGTTGCTCGAAACCCAGCGGTAGAACAAAATTGTGGTTGCCGGCATCCTTCAACGCGTCGTTGCTTGGAACATACTCGATGCCGTCACGCCACTAAGCGTTGGAGCAAAGTCAGTCCCGTTCAGAACGTATGCGGAGATTATCGGAAGCACCCTCTGCAAGTTGGTGAACGAAGATGGCCAATTTCGCATTGCCGTTAGATCTTGGAAAAGCTTGAGGACGTCGATGTAGTGGACATTGGTGTTACCGGTCACCCCGCTCTGTTGTCGCACGATGATGCGCACATCCCGAGTCGACGGATGCACGGCGTACGCCAGGAGCGCTGCGATCCAAACGTCGGTGTCAACCGAAAATACCTGGTTCATGCAAGTAGGGGTGCATGAATTGTGTCTGAGTTTTCAAACATACAAGCGCGATATCTCAGCCTGGAACGGACACTGACACCATATGAGCGTACGACGCGAGAAGTCTTCCGAACGGCTAGATGAAACACAACTGACGTTCAAATTCGGGGTTGATGTTAGAAATTCATTCTAAAGAATCAAAATATGATGGGCCAAAATGTGCTACCGTAGCAGGACTCACCTCCACTATCACGGGATCTTCGCTTGTAGGCACCACCACCCCACCCTCTCGTACCTACCCCCCCTGCCCTCTGCTCTCTTTGTTGTTCTTCCCCGCCATGTACGCGTGGTGGAGAGCCTGGAGCTCACCCTCCCCAATACCGTTGGCCTCGAGGAGTATTATGCCAAGCTCCTTCGTATTGTTCCACGACACATAACTCTCTGTCCTCGAGTAGTCGCTCGACAGAACAGGCTCCCCGTCGACCTCCAGCTGGAGCCGTTGAAGGCACGACTCCCCATATTCCAACCCCACGCCGTCTGATGTCTTTTTGCGGATTGTGTCGTACTGGTGCCGGATGAACTTGCACAAAGCCGAAAATACACGGTCACGGTGCTGCCGGTCCTCGAGAAAAGTCTGCCATTCAGCAACGTCCCGCGACTTATCTCCTATCTCAAAACCCGTGGGCGCTTTCGTGAACAGAGGTCTTCGAGTGTAACCTGCGGTTCTTCCTCTTGGCGCCAGCGCTTGCACCGGCGGACTGTCCCCGTGTCACGTGTGCAAAGCTCTTCGGGGTGGGTACCAACTGCCGCTTGTTGAAACAAAGAATCACCCATCCTGAGATCTTCCCCTCTCTCGAGCACAGATGCCACACCAAAATGGACATCACATGCTCGGCATACTTATACCAAGTAGGAAGTGGCGGCCTCCTCCCGCGTGCACTGGCTGCCACCCCCAGCGGCGATTGAGAGTGGATTATCGTCGCCATGTCAACGACGCACGTGTGTGGTGTGGCCAGAGTTGACCTAGATTTTTTCCCACTGGCGCCCTTGGCGTGCTTCATGACGATGTCTAAGGCCTTCGACTTCAAGGGTTTGTGTGGAACACCAGCCAAAGAACAAAGTTGGGCGGAGCCACCGAGGTCCATTTTGCCCTTACCCTTGGCAAACGCCCCTACCGCTTTCTTGAGATCCTCGATGTGGGTCCTGTGCTCGTATTCTTGTCTTCTTCCTTCTGTTCCAGTGTTAAACGTGGCCAACTGTACACGCTTCCGGGTAGCGTCCTTCGTCTGCCCGCCAGGGCCGAACTCTTCTTCGAACGTTTCAAGCACTCCTCCCCGGAACATGTCGTTAGACTTGATGCCGGCTTCCGTCATCGTACTTGCAAGATGTGCAAGCGCCACGCGCGCATCCGCCGAAATGCTTGACTGTGCCCCTTTTCTCATCCCGGAGCTTGAAAGGGCTTTACTCCGCAACGAGGGAAGCGTGGATTCTATCGACGATCTTCCTTCTGTGGCCACTAGCGTAGATCTTCCGGTTGTAGATGACACTACTGCCGTACATTTCCTTGACCTCCCGTGCGACGGTCGACAGGGTCTGTAGCGTGAGGGTAAGTCTCTGGAGATGCCTGACGTCGGTGCCCGTTGGAGCCTGCTTGATATCCTTGGTCATGATCATCTTCTGGATCTCGCCGAGTCCCGAATTATTACTGAGTTTCTCAGAGAGCGATAGGCTAAACGTCTCACTGATGAACAACCGCTCAGCGGGACTCAATCGCGCTATGTCTGCGAGGTATTGGATGCACAATGCGTGATACAGGTTTTTGTTGTACCCCAAGAACAGCGGGGCGATTTTGCGAATGGCGGCTTCCCGCAGATCAAAGTCCTCTGTTCGTATTCCGATGTACACAGCCAGGTATGCCATCCCATCGGAAAGCAGCAAGTCCGCCCACTGCCCGAAAGTCTTGTGCTTGGTCCGGTCGATCCGGTAGCCGAGCAAATTCGCCAGAAGTTCTTCGTCAGCAAGCCTCCCCCCCCCAGGCTGGGATGCCTCCTTCACCTCGCCAATGCAAGCTTGCCGTAACGCCTCCAAAAAACCAACGAAAAAGTGGTGCCGTTTGTGGTAGGTTTTGCCCTCCAATTTCTTGTCATAGCAGTCGGCTGCCTTCGCCAGGGGAATGAGAGCGAACCCGCCCCACTTGCGGAAAAGAACATCTGGCGTGTGCTCCAGCAGGTGCCAGTCGCCGATCCACGGTAACGCCCATGCGTATTTATCCTCGTGAAGATTTTTTGACCTTGTGCACGAGGGTGAAGGTCTCCTGGTCCCCTCCAACGACCGCGCGCCGCCTTCCCTATCCACGCCCACGTGAAGGACATCGTGCAGTCCATCCAGGTACTCCATGATGTCTTCCACCGTTTTCGTGCCAAGCAGCACCACGCCGAGATAGCGCGCAACAACATCAAAGGGTACACACCGACCGTCCACTCCCAACGGTTTCCCTGCCACGCTATCGTGGATGTGCCTCTTGGCCACTCGCATCTCGAAGTCTCCATCTACTTTGGAAAAATCGCCGTAAACGCACTGGAGCACCCTCGATCGGAACTTCCCCCATATCTCAACAATCCGCGGAGTAGTGCTACTGAAATCGCGGGCAAAGTGCAACTTCGGGGGAGGGGGGGTGTGAGTTCCGACACACGCCCTCGACTAGTCAGAACATGGTAGTAGGCAATGCCCGCTACTAGATCAACGTGGCCGCCTTTTCCCGAGTGACGTAAAACGTCCATGTTGACGTTGTCAAAGCTCGCAGCCACTAGTACTGACGTGAATGGAACCAGCTTCTTCATCTCGGCTTCGGTACCGAGCACATCCGCCAACTTCGTCCGCATTTCCCACACGTGACAGTCCGTTTGTGTGGTCTTGAAATTGCTTGCTAGAAATTCCAACCCATCCCTTTGCAGACGTTGGCCCTTCAGGAAAAAGCCCATGCCGTTGGCATTCTCATTCCGTGTGTTGAACACGAACGATGTCCACAGAACGATGCCATGAGGCATTTCCGACTAGCTCGAGACCTCAAGAGTTCCTCTTTGGCATCGCCTTCGGCATCAACCTCGGCGTGGTGGTAACCCAACTCGTTGAGGAAGGCCACCATCAGCGGGGGGACGTTTGTTCCCCATTCCACGATCGGGTCAACAGCCGCCAGCGGGATTCGACCAAGTTTCTGGTCGAAGACTACCTTCTGGCTATCCGAGGAGTACTTCGCGATTCCTTCCCGCAACTTCTTCGTCGCCAAGCGTACAGCGTCCGTATCTGTAGGCTTATTCGACGCGTTTGAGTCCCTCTCGTGGGCTAGATCCCTCTTTAGCCGCCGCACCTCTGCTCGTACCTTTTCTGTGTCCGCGTGCAAGTTGGCGACCAGGGATCCAACCTAAGCCATACTGTGAATGTAGGGGTAAACGAACACCGGATTCGTTCAATTATCCTCGATGAAGGTTGGCGTGCTTGTCCCGATTGGGGTAACCTCGGCAATATTGTCCAACTCCTCTTAGACCCAATGGGATATTCGGTCACCCTCCCGTTCCCCCACGGACAATTGCATCTTCGCCCCGTCGGGATCGGCGGCGGTAATCATGTCCTTTAGCTTTCCCCGCAGGTCGGACATTTGCATAGCTCTGTTCGCACCCAAGACCTCCCGAAGAACCCGCGCACGAAATGTGACTCTGGTCCGTTGCTTTGCAAAAAACTCCGAAGAAGGACGCGCTTGGATTGTAGCGTCCAGCGCCCCTACCTGCCGTTCCTCGTGTTCGGCTGCTTGGAGGTATGACAAAGTTCTTTGGAACTTTCCGTGGGCCTTTGACTTCCTGCCGTCAATGCGTTGTCGATTTGTGTGGTGCTTGTGGTACCAATCCATGTAGCACGCTTGGCACACTGAGGTGGAGAGCGAAAACCTTCCGATCTTCTTCCAAATCGGTTTGTTAAGCACCGTACCGAAAAACTGTTCCCAGCTCTCGTAATGCGATCCGGCCGATCGAACCTTGGCAGCCGGGAGGATGATGCGCTCGCAATCTAGAATCGGGCACCTGACCTCGACAACGGCATCGTTTGAAGTGTCCGGCGCACCTTTCGAAGGAGGGCGGCCACGAGGGCCCGAGGAGAGTCTCCCCACGTGTCGGTCCAGACCCTTGCGGTTGATGGCGTTGTGCCACTCCTTGATAATGCAGCCGGTATCATTGCACAGCACGTCCGTAGCCCGGACTGGGCAACGGATTAAGTCGCGACAATCTTTGAATCTTTCTCGTATGGCAACGGCTGCTTCTGACTCCCCTTCAAGGTACCGCAGGAAAGGCAACCTTTTGAGACGTGGGAGAGAACGGGCCTTCCGCCCGTCACCAATCCTCACATGACAGACGGAGCATTGTCCTTGTGGGCACGCATGGCCGTTGTCGTAGCAATCACCGCACAAGTTGAACGCGTGTAACACTTCCCCGTTGCACACGTGGCAGGTACGCGGCCCGTCTCCGCTATCGTTTGAATTGAATTCAACTCCTAGTTGAGCACTCATACGGACATAACGTAGCAAGGCACCATCCCTTCTGCCAATGATGACTCCGTCCTGGGAGGAACATATGTGAAGACGACCGAGTGGGGTAGAGGGAACAAGGCTTTGGAGTCTCATTCAACTTCGTAGCGGTTCCGACACCCAACGTGTTTTAGTGGTGTTGCCCCCAGGTGGACTACAGAGTTCACGATACTACTTGGATTTGTACTCAAGTATGTACCAGGGTTGTCGAACGTCACACGGTGCCCGACGACATACGATGGCATGAGCGTCTCCATTCGTCCTTCTTCCCCATCACAAATATCCCAACTGAGGTTCTAGAGTCTCTTAACTGCAGCTCTAGAGTTGAAGAATGCCAACCATCAGGTTTTTACTCTCGGATTCCGCTGGCAAAACATGTGTACTTGTTGGCGTGGTGCATCAAAGTCTGCTCGCCCAGATGAAGTTAGATTGGACTATCGAAAACACACCACCCAATAGTGCGTTGAATCCGTCGCCTCGCACGTTGATGTTGACGGGGGAGGTCTGCCAACAGCCGTGCCGACTCTGGCGATGGGAGTGTCGCTTCGCTTCGTATTGTACACCTACAAACATAGAAGCACACGCACGTAAACGCACAGAACGGGTCATCACCACGTACTCTCCGAACCTTGTCGTCTATGGATGGCATTCGCGGGAAGGTACCTTGCAAGCCGAACCGCCTACCAGTGCAACGTCAACTTTGCGAAGGTGTATATTTAAGTCTTACACCACGCTGCTCCACGCGAGTTCCTTGATCCTATACAATTGTAGGTAGAGAAGTGGCTAACCGCACATCACGTACCAGCTACTCACGGCATTGGGAAGAGGAGGCCGAATCTTCTTCCTCGGTAGAGGGATGCCCCAATCACCGTTGCCAGCATACTGCCATGTTGAGCCTTTCGCCACCTTTCCCTCCCGCGCGGCAGCCGCGCTGGCCTGTGCGTGGGGAAAAATGGAGGTATCTCAATAAGTCCACGGGCTGGAGGCGGAGAAAAAACAAATCCTGACAAGCTCTACAGGCCTAGCACCTATCGAATCACCGGCCTACCGGGTTTAGGAAGCCTCGCCGCCATTGCAACCGTGGCTGTAGATTCCGCCGAATGTGCGTCTGCTTCTCTCGTGCGGCTGCCGTTTTCCCCTGTACGTGGGACGATTTGTTTTGCGACACCCCGCGAAACCATACCGTTGTGTAAACATGTTGATCAACTAAGGACTAACAGGATGTGACGTGCGAGTTTGATCCGTGTACAGAGTGCTTCCGTGTGGACACTCGTCTGAGCGGACCAAGGCACAAAATGTACGTTCAAAACAAACATACCTGGTTGTCCGCATTTCGCCGGGCAATGCCACGTCTCCGCTGCCGCCTGGATCCCCCAAGAGGATTTCGCCGGTGCCGCTGCCTTTTTCTGCCGGAAAGCTTGCACCTCCGCCACCGCCTCAAGTTCCGCTCCACCTTATGCGCACGCCGCGCCTTGCTCCTTCGCTCGACCTTCGGATGCCGCCGTTGATTCGGCTCTGTGTCCGGAGGCGGTCGGCCCAGAAGCAACTCTTTGTCCGCGCACCATCCGGGTACCAAGCGGAGACGGGAGGTGTGTTGACGGGGAGTGGGGGGCGCAAGAAACGCCGCCACCAATCCCAACACAACCCCCGTGCATAACATCAACATCCCCACACCCACCGCAGCCACTGAAACCAGCCGCTGACACAGCAAGGCGAACACCTCCAGAGCTCGTGCATTTTCAGCGGCGTTCCGTTCCGTTGTGTCGGTAAGCGGGACTCGTTGTTCGCCAACCTACAACATGGAAACGTGCGGTTAATATTTAATGCCCACATGTATCTCGCACCACTCGTCTTGCGTGTATTCATCTGATGGCTACAAACCGTTACCTGTAGGGCAGCTGCATTAGCCGGGGGCAGCAAAAGCACGAAGTGGTTGAACATCGGTATCCACCGCTGAAGGTGCATCGAGCCATCCGGTTGAACCTCCTGGCGTCTGGTTGTCTCCGAGAACTCGTATATGTTGGTGAAGGTTTCGTGGTACGTCAACAGGCTCATGGAATGGTGGATGATCGGCTCTGCCCCCGAGGGGTTCAGGGGTCCCATCAATTCCTTGCTCCACGTTCCGCTTAAGGAGGTCCCGCCCTCACCGACGTTCATCGAACAACCTAGTCGAGTGTAGTTTCATGGCAACATCGGGGTCAGAAGGGATCGCCATTGGTACATCCCTTTTGTTCGCCCCCCTTCACGTGGAATGCCGGCCTTTTTATAGAAAATCCGCGAGGGTGATAGGCGTTTCACGCTCGATATATACACGTCAACACCGCTCTGTGCGGTTGCTTCAACTCCGTCATGTTCTGTTGGTTCTCAAATATCTTGCTATTCCTGCGTTTCCCCTCGTCCGGCAGTTGACGAACCCCAACAACTGCTGATTTGCTTTTTCAACGAACCACTGCTGAATCAAACTTGAAGATGAGCCGGGGGTGAGGTTACTGGGAAGCCTTGGTCCAATTCGAACTCGGCTCACCAATTCAATCTAACAACCAACAAAACACCTCCATCGGTGTAATATTAGGGCCAACATAATATCGTCAAGGCCAACGAAAGGCAGAAACGACGGTTCTCTCGCTTGAAACACTTGTCCACCGTTCGGACCCAGGCGTGCACTCTAGCGTCTTGTTGTGCAAAGGGAAAAAAAACAGACGATATCTAAATGCACCTGGATGGAAGCATCGCATCACCACGCCAAAAGCCTGCGCCACACATGGCAAGCGCGCTTGCTGGCAGTAGCTGTCCGGTGGTGTTATGGCTTCCATCGCAAGGAGGA